AGTATTACTTAGCTTATGAGTAAATTTTAGATTATTATTAATAGTTTATTATGGATGAATTTATATTATTTTAGTAATAATGTTTAATTTTATTATTATTAATTATATTATTATTTTGCTGGTAAAGTGTTAAGATTTATCTATTTTGTAGAGTTAAAGTATGTTTGGATGGGATTTGATTGTAGTATATCTGGGTAATGTTATTTAATTTATGATTTTGTTTTTATAACCCTGTAACCAGCTCTGGGAAGTGAAGGGGGGGAGGGAACTGGGATATGATATGGAAAATTATTTAAAACTTTTAATAAAAAAAAATTGGAAATATACATAAGGCTATTGTGATTTAGATATTGAATGTGGTGTATATATGGTACAGAACGTTGAACCGAAGTATATAAAAATGACACTGTTTGCTGAATATGTATTAGAGTTGTATAATGCAAAACTGTAATAAAAATTATTTAAAAATAAATAAATAAATAAAGGTTTTCAAAAGCAAAATAATAATAATAATAAAGTATAAAAGGCCCAGTTTGTCTTTAGATGCTGAGGAATGATTGTATTAAATGCCGAACTGAAGTCGACAAATAGCATTTGCACATGATATTTCTTTCTCTAAGTGCGCCAAGCATAGATGGAGAAGAGAAGAAATAGCATCCTCTGTACAGCGATTTGGACGGTAAGCAAACTGAAGGGAATCAAATGCTAGAAGGAGGCTAGATACAATAATGTCTTTTATCAGCCTCTCAAAACATTTCATAATGATGGATGTAAGTGCAGCTGGACAGTAATCATTGAGACCCGTAATTGTAGACTTTTGGGGGACTGGCAAAATAATGGCCATCTTAAAATGCAAACTGTAGGCCAACTAAAGAGAGAAGATGGCAAGGAAATAACAGGGAGAAAGCAGAGCTGCTTAACTCGTACTTTGCATCAGTCTTCACACAAAAAGAAACTATAGCCCAAAAAAGTCACTGAAAACTAGAAACAAAAATTAAAATAAGCAAGAAAATGGTAAGAGAACACCTATCCGACCTTGACAAATATAAATCACCGGGACCCGACAGATTACATCCCAGAGTTCTGAAGGAGCTGGCAGTTGTTATCTCAGAACCATTGCACCACATCTTTCATAAATCCTGGAGCATCGGGGAAGTACCTGAGGATTGGAAAAGGGCTGATATGGTTCCCATCTTCAAGAAAGGGGGAAAAATGGACCCAGGAAACTACAGACCAATCCGTTTAACATCAATACCTGGGAAGATCCTAGGAAAGATAATCAAAAAACAGATCTGCGAACAACTAGAAGCAAACAAAGTCATAACTAGTAGCCAGCACAGGCTTGTTTAAAACAGATCATGCCAAATCAATCTTATTTCATTCTTTGATAAAGTGACTAAACTAGTAGACCAGCAAAATGCTGTGGATGTACTCCTTGGTAAACTAGAAAAAGGTGGAATAGAATAGACAACATCACCACCAGATGGATATATAGTTGGCTGACAAACCATACTCAACGATTAGTCCTCAATGGCACTATATCCACATGGAGAGAAGTAAGCAGTGGGGTACTACAAGATTCCGTCTTAGACCCAGTACTCTTCAATATCATCATAAATGACTTAGATGAGGGAATTGAAGGGGAACTCATCAAATCTGCAGATGACACCAACTGACAGGAGTAACCAATATCCGAGAAGACAAACTCAGGATCCAAAAAGATCATGACCAACTTGAACAATGGGCTCTATCCAACAAAATGAGTTTCAATGTGGAGAAAAGCAAAGTTTTACATTTAGGCAGGAAAAATCAAAGGTACAAGTTCAGATTGGGCAAGACCTGGCTTAAAAACAGTAACTGTGAGAGGGACCTTGGAGTCCTAGTGGACAATCACTTGACTATGAGCCAGCAGTGTGCAGCAGCAACCAAAAAAGCTAATACAATCCTGGGTTGTATAAACATGGGCACAGAATCAAGATGATATGAAGTATTATTACCGCTTTATAAAACCCTAGTAAGACCACACCTGGAATACTGCAGCCAATTTTGGTCACCATATCACAAAAAAGATGTTGAGAGTTTGGAAAAAATTCAGAGAAGAGCAACTAAGATGATCAAAGGCCTGGAGATTAAAACATACAAAGAACAGCTGCAGGACTTGGGTTTGGCTAGTCCATGGGTAGGCAACCTCGGCTCTTTTATAACTCATAGACTTCAACTCCCAGAATTCCTCAGTCAGCTATGCTGACTCAGGAATTCTGGGAGTTGAAGTCCATGAGTCATAAAAGAGCCGAGGTTGCCTACCCCTGGGCTAGTCTAAAGAAAAGAAGAAATAGGGGCACATGATAGCAGTATTCCAGTATTTGAGGGGCCGCCACAAGGAAGATGGAATCACTTTGTTCACCAGAGCATCAGAGGGAAGGACAAGAAACAATGGTTGGAAACTGATCAAAGAGAGAAGCAACTTGGAATTAAGGAGAAACTTCCTGACAGTGAGGACAATCAACCAGTGGAACAGCTTACCCCCAGAAATCATGGCTGCTCCATCACTGGAGGTTTTAAGAAGAGACTGGACAGTCTCCATTCCATTCCATCCCCCATTCCATTCCCCATTCCCCATTCCCATTCCATATTCCATTCCATTCCATTCCCTTCTCCATTCCATTCCATCCCATTCCATTCCCCATTCCCATTCCATTCTGTAAGAACACAAGCCAGCTCATCTGCACACTGTGTATGCCTATTGTGTCCAACTCACTGAATATGCAACCCGTGGAGCTACATTAGCATCAGGCCATAGAAATGTCCAACCATGAGCTTGTAAGAAAATATATATATAGTTGAGTATCATCAGCATATTGGTAATAATTAGCTTCTAAATAGTAAAGGTCTCTCCCAGCAACTCCGCCCACGAAAATGTAAAGTATTATTTGAGTTTAGTTCAATTCATTTCAAAGCAGTATTTGATTTTGAATTGTGAATTAATTGTGGAAAAAGCTGGAAACTTCCTTGATTGACTGACATTTTCTTCATTTAATATATGATACATGAAGAGAAATCACTCAAGGTAAAACATAACCCAGGGCTATCTCACATGTGCATCAAAAAAGCTGCATACCAGCCCCACTCTTAATTCAATTTTTTTATCAAATTCTATGGTGGGCCGTCTCTACGACCACAAACTTTCACTCCCTAAAACTTTCTGCAAGACTATCTCTATTCTGCTCTTTGCAGATGATGCAACAATAATTTTAAGAACATTTATTTGCCTGAAAGGAGCATACTGAGCGCAAACATTGCAATGAAGAGCAGCTAAAACACAATTATAACAGAAAACTAAAATCATGGCATCTGCCAAAAAACCTAAGAGCCACTCCCGGAGTATTGATGGCTACAAAGTTGAGCAAGATCTGGGATAGTCCTTTATTCTGCCATTTTCAACAACACATTCCCCTAGTGATATGTTGTTGAAAATACACACAGGAACACAATTGCCATTCTTAAATTCCTTAAGATAAAAGAGTTGTTCACTCTATACTTGCAGCACTCAAATTATTTGAAGCCAGGCCAATAGCACAATCTACCTCTAGTAATAATTAAGGGAAATCCCATACAGCCTAATGCCAAGATCCAGCCACTCAAAAAGGGATTCCAATGTTGCTGTTCTCCATAAACCCTCAGCAATTAGTCAATTGGTTGACCAGCAGGTTTCTGGGTAGCAAAATACTACTGGAAAACTGTTTGGTGGGCTGCTAGTTCCCATTCTTTCCAAGGATAATTGGGAGTAAGATTTGGGCTGTTGCTTTGCTTTGCTTCCCACATCACTTATGATGCATGTATTCTTGATTAATCTTTTAAAAGACAGTGCAACATTGCAACCTTCCCTATTTTTTTTTAACATTAGGGAGGAATAGAATTGCCCCAACAGGTTGAAATAGTTAGCCATGAAATAATAATTACTTTGATTTTTAAAATAAATTAACTCATATTATTCTGGACAAGTGGGTTAAATTTAGGATTCAACCTGTTAGGGCAATTCTATTCCTCCCTAATGTTAAAAAAATATTCTATCTGATTTATACACTGCTGAAAAATAGCCTTTTTATTTATTTGCTCATATGCCTTACAAATGAATCTATGCTTGGTTCTACAGATTTAAACTGATAAAAAAAATAGAGAAATGAATCATTGGTAAGAAGGGGATGATGACTGCTTGTTTCTTGCTTAAATGTACATAGCTTGACTGAATACAAGAAAAGCATTTGATACCAATACAGTTTGCATACGTTTTTCTAGTTCAAAGTCTATTACAATCCCAGAAGTCTGTCACAATGTCCCTGAAATCTATTACTACAATATTCCTAAACATTGAACATCTAGTCTGAAAATATAAGCATTGTTACGAAAAGAGAAAGCATTAAAATTACATTAAAGAAAACATTAGAATTAGCGGTTAAAATAATAAACTAGAAACAGCATTATTGCACATTTATATTTGATCCATCATATTTTCAATCAAAACGCCTATTGTAAATCCAGCTTTTAAAAGAGCAATATATAACTTTTCTGTAATCCATTTCACTCCTTCTATGATTTGTTTCTTGCTTAATCTATTAATTTATAAAAGAAATTATTTAAATGAAGCTTTAATTATTTTCAATTCTTTCCTTATAGACTCTCATTACTTTCAAAAAGCATTGTCATTTTTAATGCCTTTCAGTTCAATGATTCTGAAGTTTAGCAAACAGTTTAGGGGTAACCTTAGTTCAAATTGCACTTTGAGGTAATGCAAGTCGCTACTGGTTAAACTTGTTCGTTGAAAAATGTTCACGCATGCGTCCCACCTATGAATTTTCTCCGAAATTTACTCGTAATACTAATTCACGTGGGTTGGGCTGACCAACAGGCTGGGCCATACGTAGTGGTTGGTTAATATGTAACTCGCTATAAGGAACAAATCTATCTATGCCACTACTTCCAAGAGATTTATTATAACTTACCCAACGGCTACTGAAATAATCTAATCCTCGGCAAATGATGCTGGCGGAATACTCAAGAGCGACCTGGACTCCAAAGGAAGTACCGACGCAGTATAGTCCATACAAAACGGGACTTCCTGCACTCAAAAGGAGAAGAAGCCGACGGCGCCGCATGATCTCATTACCCAATGTTTCGGCGGCCGCATTAGCAAAAGACAGTGGCAATAAGAAAGTAGCCAAAAATACTGGTGTGTTAGAATGGCGGAGGCGACGCAGCCAGCGACGGCCAAATGCCGTGAGGGAACTTTTGAACGGGTGCAAAAAGGTGCCGCATAGGACAGCCCACAATAGTGGACGCAAAAACGCCTCGAGGATAAAATAAATGAGTACTCCCACCCCACAGCATAGTCCCACCAGCACTAGAGCTCCGGTGTTGTAGAAGGCCTGGCGCAGCGGTTTCTCCAGATGTGGTAATTGCAGAGGAGGAGGTGGTGGATAATGCAGAGGATCTGGGTCCAGTTCAGATTCTGATAGCGGACTTGAAGAATCATCACACTTGTATTTAATCATATCGCTCAGCTAAGACGTTAATATTATTGCTACGTCCTACATCTCACCATACCAGCTTAAAAAAAAGCACCGCGCCAACCGTAGAAAAGCAATGATGCCGCACTGAATCCTGGGGGATGCAGTTCCCTATCACAGCCAGTAGGCATTAATAAAATACGGTTCTAGGAACGCGGACACCCTTGGCATTTGGCTTTTACAGAGCCTGAAATGTGGTCACTGCTACCCGTTATGCATACTGCACGTATTTTAAATACCTGCTTTTATTTAAAAAAGGTAACATTATTTTTCTGCTGAAAGTTGACAGAATCCTGACAATTTTTGAGAATATTTTATCCAACTGATTAAGCAGTTTTGTGCCATAAAATTTTATTTCATTTGATATCATTTGTTAATTGTTATCATTATTGTTATCATAAGTTGTTATTCAGGACATCCACAGGCAGGTATAAAATATGAGACATGGTCGATATTGTATTCATTTAACTTTGGTAATTTTCAATTAATGCATAGAAACTCAAGCAAAACATCTGCAAGAAAACAACTCAGAGAGCACCAAGGACCCCACGATTCAACCCTGAGCGACAAATACCCTCTTCTATCAACCACATAGTCAGAAAAGCCTAATTCGAAGTTTATCATTAATCTCTGAACAATATAGAGAGGAAAAGAGGTGAGAAACTTAAATTATTCTGAAGTTATCAATCTATTAAAAAATGCAATTTCTTTTCCAAATTTTGGACACTTTCTGTCTTATTTTCTGGAAGCCTGGAAAAAAGTACAAAAGTATGTTTGTGCACAAGAAATGGATATGAAAGAAAATAGATACAGAATTTAAAATACTTTGGTTAGAGAAATGTAAGTGACAACATTTATTGGAGACAAATGCAATACAGTTAAAAAAATAAAATGCACCCAGTATGGAGGTACCTTGCTTGCAATAGTGGTATAGCTGACGAATGTTTAAGATGTTTAATGATAGATTAGAATGAGATTGAGATAACATCAAGGAGGAAAGAAATAAAATAGATGTCAGGACATGATTGAGCTGTTGAAAAGTACAAATGGGAGCAAGGACGTTATTTCTATACTACTCCACCTATTTTCTTTAGTTAAGCCTGTTCTAGTTTGAATCTTTAAAAGGTAGCACTCAGAACAGGAATGTCTGAACAAGGTACATAGAAAGTCAGGCACGTTGAGTTGCATAAAGCTGAAGGAACTTTGAATTTGAAAGAGAAAAATGCTTTACATCTTTTATAAAAGTGGTTTTTTCGCTCTTACCCAACAATATGAATCACAAGTATTTCAGGCAAAACCAAAAGTGTTTATGGGGGGAGTAATGTAGTAAAATGAACAATTATTAGAATAATGATTTGTCTGCATAACTAGAATAATGATTTGTCTGCATAATTGCTAGAATAATGATGTAATGCATAATCACTGGGAAAATTCACTGGGAAAGTTCTGTGTCAGTAATATGTGGCTAACCAAATGCGCATTGCACATGGATACTTTGTATGTAGCAAAACCTTCCATTGCATGCCCGTGAGAAACGATCCAAATGTATTACAGTGTATTACCATGTATAGTCCCTTTGTACCTAAAAGAAGGGTAGTATAAAAACTGAAGTCTAATCCCGCCCTCCTCGTTCAGAATTGCCTATCTCTATTATGCTTCTGAACCTGCGCAAATAAACCTCTCTGCTAAACCCCTCTGGAATTCGTAAGAGTTCTTCCGTTTTCCACAAGAAATTTGGCACCTCCAGATGGGACTCTTATGAAGAGGCCGTTGACCTGCCAGACGGACTGCCCTAGGGGAAACCCCTCTCCTAACGGCGATATCTCCAAGCCGGCTCCGTGGCCTTTGACTAAGGGGGGACCTCGACAGGAAGAGAGGGAGCTCACCGCCAGCGAAGCATTCCAGTCAAGGATCCACTGAGAGGAGCAGACAGGTCTTTTAATCCACAGGAAGGTCTGGAACACCTGCAGGCAAGTATTATAAAAAGGGGTACCTGATCCCATTTGGATCAGAAGAGGGGATTGATCAACCCCTAGAAGATGAGGCGTCGTCCTTAAGTCTTCAATAGGTAGGATTGTGTGGGTGGTTAACCATCGCATTTCCTGCTGAGTGGCCGTTGGAACTTCCGGGACTCCAGGTCGATGGTAGTGTTTTAAGGTAGAATGGGAGGAAAACAGACTAAGGAGGGTGTTGGTCAGACGCCACTCCAGTGTATGTTGGCAAACTTTAAAAAGGGGTTTTCTAGGGATTATGGAAATCCAAGACCAAATCCAGCCATATTAAAAAGATTCTGTGAATCTGAATGGACCACCTTTGGCATAGGGTGGCCCAAAGAGGGATCGGCGCATCCCGAACTCGTGGCATGGGTTCATCAAATTGTGACTGGAAGGGGTCATTGGGACCAATATCCCTACATAGACCAATGGCAGATTAATATTGCAGAAAAGCCTAGATGGTTAGCAATGTGTCAAATAGAATGTGCTAAGATATATTTGGCAACCCAAAAAGCCAAACCTAAGACAAAACCTAAGATTCTGAGCCAGGAAGAAAGGGAGGAACTTGCCAGACCCCCTCCCTATGTTCCTAGAAGAGAAGAAGGGGGAATTCATCAGCAACACCCCCCCTTAGAGTCTCCTCTGGCTGAAAGGGATGAAGTCCACCTTAAACCAGAAGCCGGAGTGGAGGAGGAGGAGATAAAAAAAGAACAGGGTGCTCAAAAGCAAACACAGGACTTGAATGAAGATGAAAGGGAAACACCAGTCTCTAGCCGCACCAGAAAAAAAACACACAAAACCAAAGATAGAAGAAACCATAGCCCCTTTAAGAGAAGTTTTGGTTCCTGGACCAGACAACTCCAACGTCTCAATGCTCCAATATGTTCCCTTTACAACTACTGATCTACTAAATTGGCGTCAGCAATAAGGGCCATTTTCAGAAAAGCCTCAAGAAATAATAGATCTATTTTCTACTATTATTCAGACTCATAATCCCACATGGGATGATATGCAGCAACTTATTTGTACCTTACTAGATATGGACGGAAAGGAGAAATATAAGTTAGCTAAATTAAAAGTACTGGCCAGAAGACACCCAGAGGGAGGAGCTACTTACCAAGCAGACAGAGAAAATTCAGCCTGTGAAAAGAGGCCAGGCTGGGAGGCAAATAATTCACAGCATCATATATTGTTGCAAAATTATTGGCTCTTATGCTTAGAAGCTCTGAGAGAAGCCGCAATCCGTCCAGTTAATTATGCTGCAGTAACTAGTATTTGGCAAGAAAAAAATGAAACACCAACTGCTTTTCTCAGCCGACTGATAGAAGCTTATAAAATAAATACTGGACTTGATATGGAGTTGGCACAAAACCGCCCACTCCTAATTGAAAGATTTATTACCCAAAGTGCCCCAGACATAAAGAAAAAGTTACAACGCACAGAGGGGGCCTTAGGGAAAAATATTGCAGAGATTATGGAAATTGCTCAAAAGGTTTTCCATAATCGTGACAGAGAGGAAGAATGTAAATCAGATCAGAAGGAGAAGAAAAAAGTAGAAATTTTAGCAATATCCTTAGGAGAAATGCAAATCAGACCAAACCAATGTGCTATCTGTAAACAAGAGGGCCACTGGCAAAGGGAATGCCCCCAGAGGAGTGGCCAACCGAAGGGGCCATCTCGCCAGTATGCAAGGGGACGAGGAAGAGGATTTAGAGGGAATTTCCAAAGAAGTTTTAAGAGAAGCTTCAGGGGAAGAGAGCGTCCAGCCTATCCCAGTCAAGAACAAAGAAAACAAAACTTGATTGGCTTAGCTGACATGGAATGGGGAGACTGAAGGGAACAGGGTTCTATGGTCCCACCCCCAGAGCCCATTGTTAACATACGGGTGGGAGGACAGACTGTCCCAATGTTAGTTGACACGGGAGCTACCAGATCTGTCCTAAATAAATTTATTGGCAAACCATCAAACCAGACCATCCAAATTCAGGGTGTGTCAGGAGAAATTCAATATAGACCACTATTGGAACCCCTAACATGCCGAGTGGGACAAGGAATCATTAAACATAAATTCCTATATGCTCCTGATTGCCCATTACCGTTATTAGGAAGGGACCTCCTTACCAAAATGAGGGCCACAATCTCCTTTGACAAAGGGAAACAATTAATCCAAGTGCGCCACCCAGTGGAAGAAACATGGTGCATCATGTTAGTAACTGAAGAACAATCAGAAAGCTCTACCTGGCAGCAATTTAATGTTCCACTTCTATGGGCAGAGGATAACCCCCCTGGATTTGCAAAATATGCCACGCCTGTTATGGTAGAACTAAAATCACAAGCATATCCTGTTAGAGTGCCTCAAAGTACTTCAGAGGCTGCTATGGCCATTCAAGAATTAATCCAAAAATACTTGATGGCAAAAATCATTAAAAAAATTCAGTCACCCTGGAATACTGCAATTCTACCTGTTCGTAAGCCAGACGGACAGTGGAGACCGCCACAGGATTTGCGCCCCATCAATAAACTAACCTTGACCCTACACGCAACTGTTCCTAATCCATATATTCTTTTAAGCACAATACCTGCAACTGCTAAATGGTTCTCAGTTGTGGACTTAAAAGATGCATTTTTCACCATTCCATTACACGAAAATTGTCAGCAGATTTTTGCATTTGAATGGATTAATCCTAAAACACAAGTTAGGACTCAATATACCTGGACTAGGCTACCACAAGGCTTTAAAAATTCACCCACATGTTTTGGTCAAGCTTTAGCCCAAGATCTTGCATTTCTAAAGTTAGTCAGACAAGAGGACTGTTGTCTTCAATATGTGGATGATGTTCTAATAACTGGACAAAACAGGGAGGATTGTTTTGAAAACACAGCAAGACTGCTTCAAATATTACAAGACTGTGGCTACAGAGTGTCCAAAAAGAAAGCACAACTAGTCCAAAAGACTGTAATGTATTTAGGCTATGAACTGTCCCAAGGACAGAGGGCTTTAGGCCCCCAGAGAAAGCAAGCTGTGTTACAGATCCCCATCCCCCAAACAAAACAGGAAGTTAGAGCCTTTCTGGGAATTACAGTCTTCTGTAGGATTTGGA